CTGTCTCGTCCAGATATAGTTACTGCGGTATGGACAGGTGCACCACAATCATATCAAGATGACCCTACAGCTACTGCCTACCATGATCTCAGCACGGCCGTTCCTCGTGCTGCCCTGCTTCAACATCGTCACACGCTGACTCTTCGCGATCCATGGCCCCTCTTCTACGGTTGGCGCCCCTTTGGTACAGTTCCCAAGGAAACTATCGAGCCTGATCTGTACCCTTGGATTGAACGAGGCCACCGTCGAGAGTACTGCCATTGGACTTGGTGGTCAAAGGACGATGCGTCATTTGAACCCTCAGTGCATGTTGGCTACCGCAAGGAGACTGGTCAGTTTGACTCGAGCGTCCCAGATAACCTCGATCTCATTCCTTCTCCCAACTCTCTTGCGCCAATTCCACCCCCAACTGCTCTTCCCGTCACTATCGAGCCCTCCCGTCGCGCTACTTTACAAATGATCAACCACTCCCTGGGAAATGTAGTTGGGGAGCGCAGCCTGAGCACTGCTGTCATTCCAGAGTTGAACCAATCTCACCCATGGCTCAAGGAGTGGATTCCTGTCTGAGTTTATCTTCATATACAATACCCCATTCCCCGAATTTACGACCGTCATGTTACCATTCATACGATATTTTAACTTTAACGGCCGCAACAGAAATCAGGCCTGAGCATTGGGTTTTTTGGCCCACAGCATTTTCAAGGAAGCGAGTCTTGGGGTTAATCAAAAGAGGCATGATGTACTTTGCTGCCTCAATTCACATTCACTGTCAATGTCCACGGACTGCGGTGCTTACTTTCGGGTCTGTGTCTGGCTTTGGTTTTGTTTTATTACTTTTACTTGATGATAGGAGCGTCTCCTGGGTTAGGAAAGTTTCTGACTTTGAAGCGTGGTGCCAAAATCAACTGATGTAGAAATCTACTCCAATATACTGAATTTACCTAAGTCTTTTCATCACTCAGGACGAAGGTGCCATGGAAGTTTTCTTGCCTCCCTTTGGGGCACTGCCGGATTAATTATTAGCATCACCGGTCCACGGCGTATCGGAGTCCAGTTGCTCCTTGAACAGGGCGGTTTGCTTGGTTGAGCATGTATGTTCTATGTCTTATATTTCACAATCCAATATTTTGCTACTCATATCCTATCGCTGCACTAATAACCAGTGGCGCATTGCTCCATAGTCTAAAACTCGTGTTAATCGATGGCCATACTGATTCCAATGTCCTTCTCTACCACGTCACGCAGCAAGTTCCACCGGACTTCGACGTTGATTCTGTTCTATAACTGGCAGTTCATATATGTCCCAGCCTCCAAGCTCTTGTGGTTCTTTTGTCTTGCTTCGTCTCCAACGTCCTGCGGAATGGTCCTCTGTATTTTGCGCTATTGTCCCCGCCTGTGTATCCTTACTTCGATTTCTTCGAAGCAGGAATATTGCTGTAATTATGGTACCACAGATAACAACGAGCCCTCCGATGACTCCTCCAATGATGGCACCGAGATTAGGGGAGGAGCTTCCAGATGAATCTTCCTCTCCCGAAGAACTGCTAATCGCTTCTGTCGAAGCGCTTTGTGTGATGTCGGTGGTGCTTGATGCTGTGTCACTGGAGGTGACTGTGGATGTCTCTGATGTCTCTGCTGTGCTTAATTCACTGGGCTCCGACGTTGTCGTGATGTCAATAGTTGGTGTTATATAGTAATGGTCGGTTGTGGCTTTAGTTCCGCAGGCAATGTAGGAGTATGTCTGATCCACGCCGAAGGTGAGAAGAGCCATGGAACAGAATGACTTGCGATCACTAATCTTGAGGTCAGTTCCTTGCCTTGGGAGTTTTGATCTATAGTAGAGCATACCAAGTAAATGTCGTCAACCCCTTGCTGCCAGTCATACCACACCCATCTGAGCAGTCATGGCGATCAACACAACTCCCCGCTAGTCCACAGTCCGAAGCTGTTAGAACAGTCGTAGGGCAAAAGCCCCAGAGTCCATTGCGTGTGTCGACTCGACAGTTAAAGCCAGAACCGGCAGTTCTCTTCTTCTTGGGGTCACCGTCTAGGTAGCCACAGGTCGAGAGCTCAGTGCTGATAGCCCGTGGCTCGAGAATGTTGCTCGGTTGTGGAAGAAAAGGGGCTTTCGTTACAGAAGGAAATGCCGCATGGAGAGCGAGACTGGAACATGGGAAGATTTGGAAGACTGTTAGTAGATAGTACAAGGAAAGAGACCTCATTGTGAAGGTCGAGTTACTCCAACATGGAGAGAGGGCCAGAAAAACTCGGAGAATACAAGATGGCAATCCACGATGAATATGCTGGAGGCCCTTAAGCATCTTTATTGGTCTACACTGATCCAAGCCTTCTACTCTTACTCTCAGTTTCCAAGACTCAACCTACATGGGTGTAGTTGTTGGTTGAGCCACCAGGACCCGAGGACTTGGGGCGCATGCACAGAGTTTACCATTGGGTCATTCCTTGTTTCAGTTCCTATAACTTCTTTATAATCAAGTTTTGAATGTATGAAGGACTTCTTTTATCGGGTTACACACTCTTGGTGTTGTCTACCATCCATTATAAATCTATGAGAGTCATCTTAAACAAGGATCTAAGTGCTTATCAGCAGAATACTTTGGCACTTGGATTTCTCTGAAACTGCGTCAGTCAAGGATCCCCTTTCGTGATTTTTTGTCACTGCTCAACGGTGAAATGTTGGTTGTTGGTTGCAACGTATTGTCCTGTCATTTCAAGAGTGGGTTTCTCGCAACAACTAACAACCAACATGCAGCTTCAAGTCCAGGGCGCTGCTGCATCGAGAAGAAGATCGGCATCACTCTTCTCATTTCTGGGAAGACTTGGGTATTCTGTTAAAGCTTCCAGACACGTTGATAAATAGCCATGTATAGAATCTATTCATTAAACTATCATCAGATTGAATCCTAAATATGTCTTTCAGCCTTATGGGTCATCATTGGCCTGCTCAGGAAGATCAAACAACCGGGGTATCCTCACTTGAACTCGGGCGCTTAGACGACCCAAAAATACACATCACATCCTGGTATTAGGATCCCCTGTCACTGACAAAGGAACTTGCTGTTGGCCGTTGGTTGTGACTGAACCGATTTACTCTTTGCTATGCCCCAGTCCATTCTCTTCTTTTTTTCTCATAATTTCTAGATTAGCAATGAACTCATGTGGTGATCTTCTTGCTTACTTGAAGTCATGTACCGCAGGTTTATAGCACCACTGCTGGCAGTCTTTTGCTTCTTACTTGTCGTTACGAGTCTCTATCTTGGGCGCGATCACCTTACTTGGCGCTCAGTTTCTTACACTCCTGTACAGAAAGGGGAGGTTGATAACAGTTCCAGTCTAAAATCAACGACATCAGTTACGACAACAAGGGCTAAGATACAAGAGAGCCCGTCGCATACGCCAACTCCAACTACAACCTCTGCTCCAACTCCAACAATCTCAAACGGTAAGTATATCACATTCTCTATGTCTAGTAGTTACTCATTCCTTACAGGTACTATACTGTCCGCTGAGCGTATATCACCCTACATAGCAGCTATACTGGACCCATTATCTACGGTCCTCCCTCGTCTTGAGTGTCCTGTTCTGAACGAAAATCGTTACAAGATCCTCCAAGAATCTCGACATGGAGATGAGGTTGGAGATTCACAAATTAATTATTTCTTTGCTCTCAACTTGCGGAACTGCATTGGCATTCTCCCACGCCTAATAGGTAGCATCGTTGAAGCTGTTCGTTTCCTTGGGCCCGATCGCTGCGCGTTATCTATCATTGAAGGAAACTCTCCGGACGGTACATCCGACGTTCTCTCAGCTCTAAAACCCTTCTTGGAAGACTCGGGACTGGTCTATTTCTACAACAGTTCCAAGATCAACCCAGCACAAAGAAATGCACGCATCCATAAGCTTGCCCAACTTCGCAACCTAGCCCTCACGCCCCTTTATAAAGAGCAAGTAAAGGCTACAGACGATACAACAGTACTTTTCATCAACGATGTCTCTGCTTGCACAGAAGACATTCTCGAACTCGCTCTTCAGCGACGCAGTCTCAACGCAGACATGGCATGCGCCATGGACTGGACTTACGTAGGACCCGACCCAACTTTTTACGATATCTGGATAGCCCGTACCATAGCAGGGGACTCCTTTTTCGAGGTCGGCTCCGACGGAAACTGGAATTCAGCTTGGAACCTCTTCTGGAACACCCCTGGCACACGCTCACGGTACGACGCACAGCAGCCCTTTCAGGTCTTCGCCTGCTGGAACGGGGCTACAGCGTTTACTGCGGCACCGTTATTACATGGTCTTCGGTTTCGAGATACTCGCAAAGGAGAGTGTTTTCAAGGCGAGCCCCAGTTGTTTTGTAAGGATATGTGGTCCCGGGGTTTTCGCAAGATTGCAGTTGTGCCGAGTGTGAATCTTGAGTATTCTGATGAGAAGGCCTCAGATATCAAGAAGCTGAAGGGCTATGTGTCGGATATAGTTGAAAGACAGGAGGAAGATGGCGCAATAGATTGGACATACGATCCACCTGAGCAGGTTAGATGCATGCCAACTTGGGATAAACAGTCTTGGAGAGCCTGGAATGAGACGCTGTAATGAGATGAAGGACATTGATTAATGATACCATGGAAACGGTTTCGAAGTCATCACGAATGGCAATATTTTAAAGATGGTAGTAAAAGCAAACAGACTTGTGTGTATTCACACATGCCCTATGAAAGGACATCCATGATCCCGCTGGATGTTTCTTATAAATACATATATACCTTAGCAACGTTAATCATTCTATTGACTGTGGTGTCAACTTTTGTCCAAAATAGCAGGTATCGTGTGCCACTATCGCTTTGCTCCACCGACAAATGAGAGACGGAATCCAATTACTACGTTTTCCAATAGTCCATTGCCTATTGGTTCCAATACCAGGGCTGCCCAGCGGGATCAAAAGCCCACCGTGGTGGGAAGAATGGCCTCGCTCCTATCCACTAGACATGGGGTCCAAGGTGAGGAGGAAGTTGGTGGTGATAGGCTTGAGGAGAGAATTGTTGAGGAGCCCAGGGGGGATTGGGCATGTATTGCCTGGGAGGCGGTGCATTGAAGTGATTGGTGTTGAATCCTCGCTGAAAACCATTCCCACGGAAAGGAGCCATGTGGCCTCCTCGTCCAGAAGAAGGTCCGTGGTTGTTAGGACCATGCCCGTTGAAGTTGCCTCGCCACGACATCTGGTTTCCACGCTGGGACCAACCATTTCGTGGCTGGCCACGATTCTGCGTGTAGGGTTCGCCACCGTGGTAAAACTGGCGATCGCTTTCGGGTGAAGGAGGCCCATTGTGGTACGAGTGTCGACCATCGTTATAGTCACCCGAACCGTTTCCTGGACCTCCGCCTCGACGGCCGCCACGCCCAGATCCTCCTCTTCTCCATCGGTAAGGTCGTCGAGGACCACGAGGTTTTCGGTCGACCTGAAAATCGATCCGCTTGATGGGATGAGTGACCATTATGTCATCGATGATGCCGTACTTGATGAGCTCATCGTCACCTGTCGTCCATACCTGAAAAACATTTTCCAGTCTCTCGATATACTTGACTTCAGGCACCCAAGTTCGGACATATCGTCCGTTGTTGTCATAGTCGAATGCTTGTTTGATAGGGTTGAAGATGCGTGCATCACCTCTAGGGTCATTACCGACACCCGCCACGTACTGCCAGTTCGCCCAATTGGAAGACACATCATAATCTACCAGCATAGCCTCGTACCATTCAGCTCCGTAGCGCCAATCAATGCCAAGATGCTTTGTGAAGAAGCTGGCGACATTCTGTCGGGCTCGGTTCGAGGTGTAGCCGGTATGATAGAGTTCTCGCTGTGAGGCATCAATCAGCCCCATGCCGGTTGTGCCTCGAAGGAACCTCTCAATGATGTCACTCAGTTCCTCGGGTGAAGGATCTTGATTGGCATCGGCTTCCTCTTTCAGAGCTGTCTTCCACTTCTTATCATACTTGCCACTGGCTCCCTTAAAACCATCAAGCTTGAAAAGACGTGAGCCAAACTTCATGGTACACAATCGCATGTAGTCCCGCCACAAGAGCTCAAATCTGACAGCCTTGGTGCCTTCGTTCTCTCCCTGTCCGAAGCCTATAGCTCTAGAGTAGGATTGTTCTTGACCGTCCTCAAACTTGACAAGTTCTTCATGAATGCAGCGGGCTGAAATAGATCCGAGTGCCAGGTATGCTGAAAGCTTGGTGCTGTAATCGAGTCCTAGTAAGCCATTGCGGGTCTCCTGATAAGTAGTCATAGAGCCTGACTTGATGAGATGATAAAGGCGATCCCAGGCAGGGTTCTCTCCACCTTTAAATGGATGTGCAGATCGAGCATCTTCAGGATAGACTGGAGGGTCTGGCACCATACTGTTGATAGGATCTAAGAGACGTTGTTCAAAGTCGTTGTAGTTGTCAGGAATCTCAAATGGGGGTTCCTGAGGTAGTGCCCACGATGAAGGGAAGGGCGGTAACGATCCGGCCTGCGGACGGGGGAGAGAGGCGCGAGGACGCTCTCGGAGAGGTTCCTGAGTTTTGCGGAAGGTTGTGAAAACATCTGGAAGCTCCTTGGGATCATCCAAACCGGTGTCACGACTAGTTACAAGCATTAGTTAGTTATTCAGTATGGACTCCTTGACAGCCCAAGTAGGCTGACGCGCTAAACTTACTCGTCGATGTAATATTTTTCGTCCTGCCAAAGCTTGAAGTTGATGTTGTTCTCGGAACATACAGATGCTACAGCATTCTGATCATCAACCTCCTCTTTCGATACTTCCTCGGTCATCCAAACCGTATCGACAGATTGATGTTCATCGTGCAGGGACTTGATCAAATGCTTTAGGGCGTTGTCGAAGTTTCCGACACGAACCAGCATGCCACTACTGATGTCCTCAAGATTTTGTTTCACATCCCAGATAGACTCAGCTTGGAACTTGGCTCGAACGGGGCCACATCTCCAGAAGCGGCCTACCTGACTTCGAGCCTCGGGGTAGGGGGACTTTTTTCCTTCAGCGACGAAGCCTGAGGTTTCGATTTGGTGAGGGGGAAGGATATAGATGGGGAGGAGATGAGTGAAGCCATGGTCAGAAGTGGCCAGGTGGTGAAGGATAGGGTTGTCGATTACCCTGAGATCGCGTCGAAGTAGATAGACGAGGAGTTTATTCCCAGCCATGATGTCAAGGTTACAATGTTGATGTCGTAATATAAGTTGAGGCGTAAACGGAGCGTTTATGGTATGGTCTATAGTTCAGGGACCTGGTTTCTGATCCGAAGGGAGATATCTTGAAATGGCGGGGACGTTGTCAGACCTTCAGCTCAGTGGTTGTGCGGGAGGGGCCTAGTTTTGGAACTGGGATGAGGGCTCAATATTCGGGCCACTGAGTGGTTTCGTTTAAACGGCTGGGGGAGATGTGTGGGAGGTATTTGGTTGGGCCGTGTACGGTACAGCAACAGCAACAGCAGTTGAGTTGATTTGAAAGTTGATTGTATTTGTGGGTGTTAACAAGGGTTTTGGATACCTTACTGTGACGATATAATGGTAACCAAACAAAGTTGAAGGAAAGCTGAATAGGAAGAGAAACTTCTCAGAAGCAAACGAGTCTGGTAACTCGACAGAAGAGTCTCGAAGGTAGAAGGGCAGCGGGTAGGGTTGTATGTAGGTATTGCGTAAGTGATTAAGACAGAGCTAAAGAAGTCTGGTCTGACTAGATGGATGGGGAACAAGCGGATACTGAGGATATCAAATAGATCATGGATATCAGGAGCTGGGACCTGTCTGCTACTATAACTTTAGCTCGTCTTAGCTTAGTTTAGCAACTTCAACGGTTCCTGGCCAGATATACCGTGAAGCAACCTCCTAGCCTTGATGCGGATGTAGCCACAGGGGTGTATATATCGCCTGCCCGCGACCCTTGAATGGGATGGAGGAAGCTAGGCGGGAGCCTAGCGTGAAGTGAAGTGACGGGTGGGTTGTCCTGGTAGTTGATAGTGGATATGATGGTGGCATTCAGGTCCCCTGGAGGCGGGAGTGAAGCTGTTTGAACCCCGGTTCAGCTCAACTTGACTCAAAGGCCAAGTCTAGATGGTTGAGAAGAGGGTGTCTAGAGCTGAAAGGCAGACTGAGACAGAGAATGAGTGCAGAAGAGTCGAGTGAGTGTGTAGGGATAGATATCAACTTCAACCAACCGCAGTTGAGAAGAGGAGAATGCAACAGGGGAAATGAGAGAACAAGGCGAGAGTTGAATGCAGATGATGACGATGATAATAAGAATCTAGACTAGGTAGGTACAGGAGGTGAATGGAGATCCTCCTTCCTAACGTTGGGCCAGGCCACGGCGAATTTTCTCGTTCCAGGGACCGGACCTGCAGAATGCAGTGATCGATACACTAATAACTCTCCGATTTGACCAGGTCTAGCAACCCGGGACAATCATAAAGGCGCCTTTTTTTCGGAGAGGAGAATGATAGCTCGATATCTTGTCGTTTAACAGGATACGATGCCACGGCAAGGTCCAAAATAGGTAAAAACCCGGTAATAACAGGTGATAGTGATGGTGATGGTGATGGCGATGGAGATACCGGTAGAACAAAAAGAAAAGAAAATCAGAACTTGGAACAAAAAGAAAACAGAGCAAGAGTAAAGGCAAAAAGAGACCAATCGCCATTTGGACCCTGATCGGCCCATGACGGAGAACCCGGTTGTTGCGGCGGCGCCATTGCTATGATGATTTGATTTGGCTGTGAATTTTTGCTATGTTGCTACGATGCGCTTTGCTTTGTCGTGATCCAGAGGTCGATTTCCATGCCTCTACAACGAACCTCTAGATCGGACCAAAGACGGGAGCTCTAGCCTACAGGGGTTAAGGGTAAGGCTCAAGCGAATGGACAGTGACAGGCTACAGCAGGAGCAATGACAGGGGACGGGGAGCAAAGAGGCTGCTAAAAAAGTTTAAAGTGTGTCAAGTTTTATTCGCTCCAAGCGATGATCTTTTGCTTTTCCCCCTACCTCTCAGCCAGCAAATGCAACCCAAACATGAGTGAGAGTGAGGTGATTCTGCTTGGTCCTGGGGCGGGACGACGCGCAGTCTAGCATCGCACCTCATCCTCAAGTTGTTCTGCTTAGGTAGGTACTAAGGTTGGGGCCGGAGGCTTACAGGGGGCTTCAGGGCGTGTCCGACCAGGCTCGGCCCTCATGTCTCGTCTCTCAGGCACAGTGAGCACTGAGTGGGGTGGGGCTGAATCCAATGGTGAGAACATCACCAAACTTAGCAAAAACTACTCCGTAGACCGTTGATGATTGACGTTCCTAAGCTGACACTTGACAAGGGGAAGGTTTCCATAAACAGAAACCCTCATATCCGTAAACCGTCAATCATGTCTTAATTGATCACAGATTGCTCGCCCTGGATGAACGTTTGACTGCTGTGCTTCCCCCCTATCAAGCCTCACCTGCTACTTGCGTACGCATATTCGATGTTGTCTCCGCCTCACTTCTCTCCTCCTTGTCTTGTCTTGTGTGTGCCAAATGTGCACGACGTGATCTGGTGTTGCGCCAACGATTGAGATGCGATGCAGCGGCATGGCTATCGACATTATCATCGCCATCGTGGGGGCGTGTGCAACTGTTACACTGAATTACTTGGCTGTGTGCTCTGCTCTTGTCTGTTGCCTACAAACTATCTGAGACACAACAAGGGGCGGGACAAGACCTCGTGAGAAATGGATCCTTTGCGGTCTGTCAAGTTTCTGTGGCGTACCGCGTGTCGTGTCCTATCGTGTTGGTGATCGTGGTGATGGTTGAGGGCTAGACTGAGATCGAGAGAAGAGAGAGGGTCTCTGAGAAATCAGGGTCCAGTCAGTTTAGCCGATCAATGACATCACGACTTGATGGGGGCTTTTCTAATACCCGTGGATTGGACTCGAGTGTTTTAGCTGATGCAATTGCTTTGGGTGATTGATCTGGTACACGATTCACTGCAACGGTTGCAACTATCGCGAGTCTGCAGCTATCAATCGCTGTCAAGTCCGGCTATCAACATCATCGCTGATTCCCGTTTCTCAGATCTGCACGTAGGGTGCTAACACACGCCCATCGAGCCGAAGAAGGGGGGGTTCTAGATCCTGTCAAGTAAAGCCCAGACTGGAGAGTTTTCAAGACCCGTTTTCAGGCCCATGCCCATGTCCAAATGGATCCATGACCAATCGATCCGAGCGTCGTGTTCCCCCGAAATGACCTGATGTTTTTTGCCTTTCGTTTCTTTTTCTTCTTCTACCGACATGGGAAACAGCACTTTTTCCATCAGAGGTACCCCAGTCTCCGATATCCGTTGACAACGTGCGTTCCCGACGATCGGGCTCATGGCTCTCACATATCTTGTGCTGGTGTTGGCTCTATCACCCTCACGAAAGCAACCATTTTGTTTGATCAGAGTTTACGGTAGTTCAAACGGCATTTGTCAATGAATAGACTTTCTATATTTCCCATTAAAAACTCGGTATCATGAAGATACCTCACAGAATCAACAGATGTAAGCCAAAACATCCAACATCAATCGATCTGATACCTGCTGCCCAGCCTGGATCCAGCCTCCTCCCGTCTCAGCAACATGCGTGTCTCAAATTTGTCAACGTAGTATAAATAATTGATTGCATAAAGCCCACATGCAATGATTTCCAATCGGGGTTGCTCCGATGGCCAATGGAGTTGAGTGCAGAGCAGATCACAGCCAAGCTTTTCACTACAGCCTCGACCGGGGTACTATCACAACCAGATGCGAGCTGCAAGACCTCCCGGAATCATCTCAGGAATCAATGCAAATGAGCCACACGCGTCTTGAAACCGCGAATCTTGATGTAAGCGTTAATGAGCAGGGTAGCCAGCTATGATTCAGAGAAATAGCCAGCCTTCGGAATATCTTCCTGAAACTTCAGCATAAACTGCACAATGATGACGACGATCTGGTCGCAAGCCCATGTCTTGAATTTGCAGGTATCAAACCCGCTCATGTTCTCCCCGATTCCCGTTTGGATGCCCCATCGCGATCATGCTGCTCTGCACTGGATTATTCGTGGGTTTCGATGAGGAACATGACATCGCTCATGACGACACTCTCTGGACTATTTTCGAGAGAGCGTGGGATCGCCACTACTGACGCGCTTTCTTCGGCCCATTGTGAAGTCATCGCACGTTGCAACGAAGATCAGGGTTCATACACAATAACTCTACTCTGAGCTAGCTTGGAGCTAACTTCGAAAGCGCTTCCTAGTGATTCAGATGGGAGTTTAGCATGGGCAATCTCTAATTATCGATTTTGTCATAACTCTGGTGTTAATATTCATGTTGAATTAAGTCCAAACTACCCTACACCACCTATGATGTTTTGAAGTGTCACGATGCTATTCGATCCCCAATCTCTGCTTACTCCCTGCGATCATGGAATCTACATTGGATCATCTTTTCCGACACGCCCTCTGAAAGCCCAAGTCGCAATGAGAACATGAAATGCAATACTACACGCCACGATGGTAAACCGGTCAATACCTGAAAACGCCTACCATGTCATGATATCCACACTCGCATAAACGGGCGCTTGAAGGCTTCGGCCTTGCTCGCGACATCGCGATAGTAGCGAGGTGCATTCTTTCTTTCTTTTGGGTTGTCACAATGTCTCACTGAAGCGCGCGTTAGAACTCCCAGAGGCAAAGGTGGGGATAGAAATCGGATGTCTGAGTTTACAAGGTTGATGCAGACATTACAAGACAAATGCCACTACCAATGAGCTACTAATATCACTTTATCCAAACGCCTGCAATGGTATAACTACTCGTCCCATAGGTCGTGTCATTTAAGACAAGGCTTCGGAAGGCCTTTATCCTTCCTGCAGTCAGATTCTCCTCGCAGCAATATGCAAATGTCTCTTATGCGTGACAACCCAACTTGTAAGCGATTTTCGTCATATTTCTCTTCGATCGAGATCCCCAAAAGTCGCCTTCAACTTTGGTTCAGGCACAAAGCTCCATTGGTTCATTCTCTCAACCATAGGGCCACCAATTGTAATCTCCAATTTATATCACTAAGACCTTGTCGCAGATTGTCCAGCGTCGACTTCGTCATTGATGCCATACTGATATTTTGTAAACCTGCCGGGTAGGCTATTGACTGATACATGCATG